AAACTAAAATAATCACTCACCTTTAATTAACTGAGATACTTTTATTTTTCTAAATCAAATAGCTTCCTAAACAAATACTGAATATACTTTCCTCAAGTTTACATACCCGTACTACCAGGCACACCAGCAATCAACTATAAAGTAATGAGTTGTTTCAGGAGCTTACTGATACACGGGGCTTGGAACTCAGGAATATTTCCAACAGAAACAATATTAAACACATTGGGTTTCAGGCTGCGTGCCACAGGGGACTTGGATTCCCTCTGCAGTCCACATAGTCATCAAAAGTGTTAATTATAAAGAACTAACCTAAGATTAAATTACATATCTAAGGAAAACCAAACTTGAAAAACTATCCCTGGCATTAGCCTCTGAAGCTGCACTTTTATTAAACCCTGGAATTAAAAAACAAGCACACAAACAAACAAAACAACAGAACCTGATCTCTGAGAGCAAAGAAAGGAGAGCATTAAGAAAACAGGGCAAGGTCTGGGGAAATTCTGTTACCAAGAGCCATTTGGTTATAAGGGACTTAGTTAGCTATAGGGATATATGTGGCAAAGAACAGTATAAAACAGGAACTGCATTTAGTCTATAAAGATTTCAAGTATTTAAGAAAGATGGCATCAGATAGAAAGAGGCAAATTTTAATAAGCTAAAAGAACATTAAGTTGTCTTCATTTTTAGCACAGTCTCAAAGGGGGGGGGGAAGCATTCATACCTGATTTATGTTATTAAAAATCACTGTACAGACCTCCTAATTTTGGCAGGAATTATGCATTAAGCACACACTTCTATGACTCTACAGTGCCTCAAATAAGCCTTTGTGCCAAATGTCAGCTCTGTAAGTTTGATAAAATCTTACGAAAAATGGCAGGCTTTCAGACCCCTGGGCTCTCTTTTTGCTTTGAAGGAGTATTACAAAGAGGCAGCTTCCAAGTAAAGACAAGTGGCGCTATTAAACATCACTCAGTGAAACACCAGCAGGGCAGAAAGGTAGGTCAGGAAGGAACACTTAGGTACAAGTTTCAGCATAATGCTTAGCTTAACAAGAATAACTTATGTTCTCACTGTCCCCACATGCACAGCCACCTGGGAGCGGTCGGTCTCTGTAGATTTTTTCTCTCAGATTTCTGTTAAATCTGAGTTACAAAGTTGAAACTAAAAAGGTATTACAAGGTAAGCTAAAATCTGTCAAAAAATAGCTTCTCACCACCTTATTACCTGGCCCCTCTCATTCATGCTAATTAAGGTCCCCATTACTTGGAACAAAAAGCTCACCCTAAGAAACTGACTCAGAGAATTAGAAGTGAATAAATGAAGTCTCTTACAGTTCTAAGATATATAAATGTCACAAGCCAAATCATGAAATATAACAGCGATAACTAAAAATGTTTCAAGGTAATTTGAATTGGAGTCAATATTTATAATTGACTTGAACTGTGTTCCCAAAAAGACATGCTGAAGTCTTAACCCCTATATCTGTGGACAGAATCCTCTTTAGGGGGAAGGTCTTCTTTGTTATGTTAATAAGTCGTATCTTCCTAGACTTCAGGAATGACATCTGGATCTGCACATTTGCCCCAGCAGAAACTGGGGTGTCATCCGAGTCTTTCTTCTTCCTTACTCCCCACATTCAATTAATTACAAAGTTGATCTTACAAATCTAAAAATCCTTCCAATTTTATTTGTTCTACCACTGGGAAGATGGCTTCACTGGAAGAGTATTCAGAACCACCCCCTCCCCACCTCCACACAATGAAGCTCTGCAGCTTGCATTCACTCATCTACTGAGATGAGCTCCTGCTATCTTGAAGAGTACTTTTCACCTTCCCATTATTTGATTCTATATACTGCTTTCCCCTTTGAACAAGGAAGACTGCAGTTATTATTAATTTTTCAAGTCAATCTGAAAGTCTGGCTGTATACTCTCAGTGGTATCAGAGGTTGTACTTTAAAACTAAGCACCCAGATGTGTTTTCGTGAATACTATTCCTGTCATTCGGGGTAGGACACTTTTGGCATGGGAAAGGGATCCAAAATCCAAGCACTGGCATCTTATAAACAGTTGTTGAAGTTCTAAAGATAGTATTCACTCCTACAAGGAAGGTGAAAAGAGACTCCTCCCACAACAGGAGGTAAGGGTACAGGGGCAAGGTGATTCATTCTGCCTCTCTTGACAGTGTTTGCAAAACAGGCTGAAACTGGGGAAAGACTACGTAATACTGGACTAAGACAAGGCATTTCTTGTGGTCTTTACAAGTCTTAGCTACTCAACGAACATATCTGAGACAAGCCTGTCTGACAATTCAAGGATAACAACCCCTCTGAAATTACTGCCAGCAGATTACATATCTCTCACATTATCCCAGAACCCAAGAGAGCCACTATGACTAAAAAGGGAGGCCTGGCACAGGAAACACAAACCACTATCATTGCTCTTATAGACTGCCACACAGCCAGCTCTTGTTGCTTCCTGATTAGATCCTATCTACTCCTTTCTCCTTGTGGCTGCCAAAGACATCTTTCCAAAATGCAAATCTGATTATATCACTCCCCTGCTTAAAACTTTTCAAAGACTCTGACCTACATTCCCACACCTGGCTTATAAGATCCTTCACAATCTGGCTCCTGAGTATCCCTTCAGCCTTATATCTTAACCCTTCATCGCTCTCCCTCTCTAACGCTCAGCCACAGGAATTACTTTCTCCCTGATCTTTGCACACACTAGTCCCTCTACTTCCAAGGCCCTTCTCCCACTCTGCACTCCCCTCCACCTTTACCCACTTCATCTAGTACACATAATTATCCTTCAGGTCTCATCTTAGAAGTCACTTCCTCTGGGAAGTTTTCTCTAAGACTATGCTCCACACTTCCACCACTGGGTTAAATGTCTCTACTCCTAGTACCCTTTCAAAGTACCATTCCTGACCTCTATTGTAGCCTTTATTACATGTAATTTAAATTGCCGAGCTCCTTGTTTTAGTCCCTACCTATAAACTCCTTGAGGACAGAGCAGTACCCTGTACACTGTTATACTGCCAGCACACAGCATTGTGCCTGACACACAGTTGATACAATCAATAAATAGTTATTAAACAAATGAATACAGAGAAAGATGGATAGATAAATTGATATGAATACAGAAGCAGCTATCTGTGAGAATCAGGGACAAATGACAACTTAGGAAAACTGTCAAGCTTGCTGTCACTACCAACCAAAGGAAATATCTCAGGGTGCTTTCCACAACGTATCAGTGTCCGGGAACCACAGAAAGTCAACATCAACCAAAACACTTTTTTGGAAATATACATACGGTTGAACTATGTCATAGAGAACCACCATAAATATGAAGAAATTTCATAACTGGAGGCTTACAGTGGTCAAGCAGAGTCCACTTCCCTAAAACCCTGATCTTCAACACTCCTCACCTCCCACTCTCTTCCCCTAAAACTCTCAGCTAAGGGAGATGTTTGCTGAATAAAGCAATCTAATACTAACTTTGAACTAAGTGCTTTCCTGATTAGGAGATCACATATCCCTGTGTTTCTTTCCTATTATAAACCAAACTCAATGCCATCAAACTGACGCTGACTCATAGCGATCTCAGAATATCCAAGGCTGTAAATCTCTATGGAAGCAGACTGCCACATCTTTCTCTCAAGGAGCTGCTGGGGGTTTCGAACCACTATCCTTTCGGTTAGCAGTCGATCACTTTAACCACGCCCCAGGGCTCCTTATTATAAACTAAAAGGGGAAGCTTTTGGCACTGAAAGGATTCTCAAACGAAAAATAAAAAGGACAAGGTTATAAAATACATGCCATCACTGATCATGTCAATCTAAGAGAGTTTCTTTTATACGTAACTCATTTTAAAAGAAACAGTAAACAACTACAAAGACTCGAATAGTATTAGCTTTTTATCTTAGAGTTAGACAGGCCTCGTGTGATCACTAATATCTGAAAGTTTAAGATTGTGAAATTCTTGGAAACAAAACAGATGTAAAATCTGAAGAATGAAGACTGATTTCTAATATTTTAACATGATATTAACGAGTTTCCCATAAAGCAATGTTTACATATCAGTCTTAAGTATTATTTTACTGGTTCCAGGAAGCAAACTCAACCTATGAGTTAGTCCTCTGTGTTTAATTTACAAAGCCACATGCAGACCCAAACTCCGTCCATACATTCAATTTAAAAATAAACCATCTGAGTGGCGTCTGGGGTCTTAAAAGCTTGCAAGCAGCCATGTAAGGTGCATCAATTGGTCCCAACCACCTGGAGTAAAGGAAAATGAAGAACACCTAAGATGCAAGGAAAGTATTAGCCCAAGAGACAGAAAGGGCCACATAAACCAGAGACTTCATCAGCTTCAGACCAGAAGAACTAGATGGTGCCCAGCTACCACCAATGATTGCCCTGACAGGAAACACAACAGAGAGTCCCTGATGGAGCAGGAGAAAGGTGGGGTGTAGAACTCAAATTCTAGTAAGAAGACCAGACTTAATGGTCTGACTGAGATTGGAGGAACCCCGGAAAGCATGGCCCCTGGATTCTCTATCAGCCCAGAACTAAAATAATTTCTGAGGCCAACTCTTCAGACAGGGATTGGACTGGACTGTGGGACATAAAGTGATACCCGTGAGGAGTGTGCCTCT